GTAAAGAGAGGCAGAAATGCAGCGTCCTCTTATGAAATGCGGGCTGTCACGAGGCTAAAATATTGCTTTAGATGTATTGTGTACATATGATTGTCATCTGCTTGTCAAGCAAAACAGGCGGGCGTTAAAAATAGACGAGTTTCATCGTCACCGGCGTTTATTTCTAGCAGGGTTAGTCCTCCAGGCTTGGCCAGGGACTCCGCTGCTCCCACTCACTGAAACTTCCTCAGAATTCGGTAGTGGAAGCTCAAGAGCCCGCCCACCAATCGGAGAGCTCCTGCCGCCCGGGCGTGCGCGCTCTTGTTCCAGCAGGCTCCCCCCCCCCCAAAAGGCCCTGTAGGCCGGGATCCCAGAGCCCTCAGCCTACAGGGCGCCCCCCCCCACAGCCGTGAATCATCCATCCAACCATTCCCATTCCCGCTGCTGCTAAATTAGAAGGATTCTTCATAAAATCTTAAAGGTCCTGTGAAGCGAAACCAGCCGTGGGATTGTTTACGCAACGCAGATTTCGAGATTTCGTCAAAGCCGATCTGGCACGGTTTTCCATGTTCAGACAAATAGCACGAGAGTGGAAAACACGTTTGTCCTAAATATTACTCAATAGAAGAACAAAAAAAATAAATACAACATCATGTACAATAACCATATAAAACAAAACATCTAGAACAAATCATTAAAAATGGATATTTCATCCCATTTGATGATCCCATCTCTTATCATATGATGGGATTAGTAGAATACCAACAACTTAAGTCCGTAATAACTATGAAATTTGTCCTTCCAACAACTGGATCTGCAACTCCCGATGGAGGTAGCGGAATACTGAAACATCTGCTCCCCAAAAACTCTGTCAAAAATCTATAAGTTATCATCAAAGACCCACGACACAGATCGGATGGTAATTTTTGGCCACAAATATGTTTGAACATTTTTAATTTGACCACCAATCCTAATTTACAGCTATATAATATCTGTAGACTCATCTAAATGACATCAATTTAGGAAGGATTTATACTTTGCAGAGAGATATTCTCCTGAACTGGAAAGTAAAATATAAAACTCAGTGTTAATCAGTTTAAGAATCTTCTTTTAGACCATATCAGCTTGGTATTTGGTGCCCAGGGCAACAAAGAGCTTTCTGTGTGGAGGGTTCTGGTTCAAGTCCCCGGGGGAACCAGGACCAGAGGGTTCTGGGTTGGAGTCCCAGGGGA